TCTTGCCTGCTTTGAAAAGCAATTGGAAAAAAAAAAACCCAACTGTGATTAAAAATACCCAATGTCTACAATTTTTTTAATTTTATCAATAAATCATTTAGCTTTTCTGCGTTAAGCCTGTTTAACCATGCCTAACTTTGAACTTTAACGAACACCAACATAACTTTGAATGGGACTGCAGTTCCAAAGTGCATAAACAGAAACATGAATACCCATTTATAATAAATAAATGTGTATTTTTTTTATGTTTAGGGCGTATTTGTTAACTTATTCTTTTTGTCCTTCCACAGCCAGCTGAACAATTTAGGGATAAAGAAGACGAGTCTGAAGACCTGAGAGAGGCGGTGGAGGCTTCACTAGATGCTATGTAAAAACATTTCACAGCTATTTAGAATTTAATTTATTTAGTATGATTATTTATTGCTCACAGCTGTATGAGTGTGTGTATGTAAGACTATTTTAATGTCACATATGTGTCTTTTATTGTTCTGTAGGTTTTATTTATTGCACTACATTTGTGAAAGGTCAGAAACAAACAAAAAAATAACTTTCTTTGTGTAACTGTCGTAAAGTGATAGATTTTGACCACCAATAAAGTGTCTCAGTGTTACACAGAAGTGTTTATATGTCTCTGCCTGAATGTCATATTTAAAGCCTTCAGTTTTGAAACTTCAGTTTTGAAGCCAAACTTTTGGCAAACAAGAACAACCTTGAGGGAGATTCTCAGAAAACACACCTCTGAGAAATTCAGAGGATCAGCACAAAGGAATGAGAGCGTAACAAGCTCAATCATATTCAGAGAAATGTAAAAAAATATATTAATAATGGTTTACATTTTTGTTGTTGTTAATTGCCAAAAGATAAGTAGCATATAACTAAGAAAACTAGAAGAACAACAATAATAATAATAATAATAATCATCCAAAAGGTCATGAACAAGGGCCATATTTGATAACTCAGTTTTGCAGGTCCATAATTCACATTATTTACAAAACCCTCACAAAGAGCTTCGTGCCTCAGACGTGACTGCCAACTCCGCAGCATCTCTCTGTGCTGATGCAGATGTGTGGATTTTTCACATGTATAAAAACAACTGCCAAAACAAACAAACAAAAAAAGAAAATATAAAATAAAATGAAGAAACAAACTAGTAAAAAAACGGATTCTTAAAAGCCAGCACTGTTGGCAATTTGGCATACATATTTCATTGACCTTCTCTCGAGAGCAGATGAATTAGCATCTGTGAAGATAAACGTGAAGACGTTTAGCTGCCTCCTGCACAGCTGCATTCATGCAGTGCTCCCTCAGTGAGGACTGAACTTTAAGGTCCTTCTTCTGCTTCGCTCCTGTTTCATGGAATATCTTGCAAAAAGATCTGAAGCTCTCGACCTTGACCTCTCTAAGTGGCTTCAAACATCTGCTAAGTTCATGGCAAAAACCAATGCAGACATGTTCCTGTTTTTAGTTTTCTATATCGCCTTACAACCTAGCTGATTTTCGTTACATTTTTTTTAAATACCATTTTATTTTCACTTGTTATTCTCAATTTTTTTGCATCCTTTATGATTGTCTGTTGTCATCACTCTTTGTTAAAATCAGGTCTCTCTTGTTAAAGAGTCCCCGAGGCTCAATGGGATGACCCTGTTTGAATAAAAGTTGAATGAATCTACAAATATATTATACAAAAGAGAGTATGGTAATTTTCTGTTGTTGCAGAAAATCAAACCTCTTCTGGTTATAGAACATTTCAACAAACTTTTTTTTTTTTTTTTCCCAATCCCAACAAACAAAACAAACAGAAATGGTTGTAAATAGTTAATGGGACAATGACTAAGCTTCTTGTGGTCCTGAATAATACTTTTTTAAAATTTAAACAGTGCAAACAAAGATACATTGGTGATCAATGAGGCACGAAATGTCACAAAAGATTTAAAAATGCCATGCTGAGCATGATGCAGTCAAATATTGTTTTACGGAAGTCTTCATTTGTTAAAACCCAGAACTCACTGTGAGAAAACATTTTCTTATTCTTCGTGTCACTTTTGTTGGCGGCGTGTTGGTGGCAGATGGTTATATTTAGATTATGCAATGAGGACAACAAAGATCTGCTGCGTTCTGACGCAAAGAGTCCAAATGGCTGCACCGGCTGAACTTGATGGGTGTGTTTGCACCATAATTAACATTATTTGCTTTGTGAACGCCACTCTGAGACAAAGCAAATAAAGAGTTAAAGGAGGAGCAGTTAACACCTCACATGCATCTGCTTTTCTGTGTGGGAGCCGTGCTGACAGGCTGGGGGCAAGCAAAATAAAGGGAGGCTTACAAATCAGGAAACTGACACGTCCGTTTTATTTTAAGTGTCATGGTGATGCCATTCCGAGAAGATATAGTTTAAATGATGTACTTTAATTCAAAGACAAGCAAATTTAAGAAGCAAAAGACAAAAAGTCTTCCAGGCTCTTCTGACTGGTTTTATCTGTGATCATATAAAGAAATTTCACTTGGATTTTTTTTTTTGTATTTATCAGGTAAATGTTACTTAAACCACCTGAAATGGATTTATTTAATTTAATTAATGGTTATAATACTATTGTACAAAACAATATGGGGAAACTGGAAAAAAGTGTATAATTAGCAAGTGTTTTTATATTAAGAATATAATTTTAGGGAAATATTTAATCACGTCAGATTACAAAACTGTTCTACACCCTCATTGATTGATTAAATCTAAAACAGGTGTTAATTCATGAACTTTTTGATAGAAACATTTTTTGAGAAGCTAGCACACCCAATCATGCAGTGATATTACTTAAAAAGCTTAAAAAGTTTATTGAAAATGACAAATTTTCCAAAAATATTTCCAGGTAATTGCTGGTTGTTATGGCTGAATAATCCAACATGTTTCAGAAAAACAAATATCCTAAAATGAAATATTTCGTTATCAAATCAAATAATGTTCTTCAGGCTCAAATGCCCAAAACATTTTCCTTTTTTTTCTGTTTGAAATCAAAGTCTGGAAGGTTCAATTAAAACACAATTAAAGCCACAACACATCTGTCTCTTTTGTTCTGTTTATGTTACAGTTTAATCACCAAAACTTGTTGTTTTTATTTCAGTTTTAGAGTTATGACAAGAAGGTCAATAAGAGTTGGGCTCGAAGTCAAAATTTCAGTTTATTTAGTTCATTTTAAAAAGTCATTCAGACTCAAGTTTCTGGACATGAGAGATGTTTTTGTTGGATTTTTTTCTCCAAAAATGCTGGCGGGTATAACTAAATACAGATTCCTAAGATGCCTGGGAACTTTTATCACCACAGTTTCATCAGGGAGGCATTTTATCAGTGCCAAACTCACAAGCCCAAACATAAAGCTGAGCAGCAAAGAAGAATCTACTCAATTTTGAAGTAGAAGTTACGACAGATCATCTATCTGGGATTAAAATCTGGCACAGGGACAAGAAATACACCCACACAGGAAACGTGGGAAGTTCTCAAAGGATTCTTAAGTGTTCTCTCACGTGGCCTGAAATCATTTTTGGGACTTTTTTAGCATCTTACTAAAAGTACTTAGCTGCAAAAATGTCAAAGCTTCATTTATTTTACTAATAAGCTTCATATTAGATTCTCCAATACTTTTTTTGAATGTTTCTGATTTCGGTTAATCAATGAAGGATATTGTGCCTTAAATGCAACTAAATCAAAGTTTTGAAATGTGAAGTAAAATGTAACATTTTTAATTAATCAAACGTGTATTACATCTTTAAGGGTTTATACATTATGTGCATATATTTTATTACAGATGCTGAGTAGTGGTGAGTTGTGTGGTTGTAGTGATTTTTCAAAGCCATGTTTCTTCTTCATAGTTTTTTTATTTTTTTGATTTACACCGTTCATATGCTGTTATGCACAAGTAACACTTGTTTATCATGCTCTCTGATTGTTAAGCAACTAAAATAATTTCGCCTGACCGATATATCAGTAGGGCTGATAATTTAGGCCAATATAAATGTTTGGTGACCTATTTGTATCGGTGATAATTGTCCTATTATGCACTGATATAACTTCTAATTTTCACCCTTAAAATGGTGGGAACACATTGTAATTGTTCAATGTATCCAGCAGAGGGCACATGCAGGTCACTTTCAAATCATAGCCGTTCACTTAAGTTTCATTTTCACACTCAGCACAGACGAAACAGGGAGCAATACTTTGTAGCATATTTAGATGAATAGAGCATTATAAGTTTATTTTAACTCATCTGCAAAACAAATCAACAATAATAAATTATCTTCAATCCTGCTACTTGCCTTAGCAAGTTAATGTTTAGATAACCTAGCATAGGCTATTGCCTTGTAAAACTTTATCCAGAACAATAAATCTAACGTACAGGTAAAATATATCAGTGGTAGTAACGTTATCTTTGTTATCCTCAATGAAATGCATTGTTTGTCTGAAATCTTTATTTCTCTGCAAAGAAAAATAAACTTTATTGCAATCAATGCTAATTAGACCTTCACCATACATAAATGACTGTTTAAACAATGAACAGGGAAGGACGTTTCTTTGCTTAATTTATATTTATGCAACACACTTGATAACTTTATAGTGAATTGTGGAGGATAGAAAATGTGAACACACATTAGGAAGACCTGTAAACTTACTGTGGGACTACAGTAATCGTAGCGTGGATCTAATTTGCCTAACTTCATGATTGCTAACAGCTGCGCTAAATAAACAAGCCCCGCTCCACTTGCTGTTTTCTTAGATTCTTGGGTGTGGTCAAAGCTAAAAATATCAGCTATTATATTGGTTATTGGCAGCTGCCTTGCACTCCCAATATTGGTATCGATGATAGCCAAAATTTCCATTTCAGTCGGACTCTAATAATTTCCCTTATTTTTATTTTCAAATGATTTTTTTTTTTTTTGTGTGATATCACCTGAGTCACTGTGCAGGAATAATAAATGAAAGGAAGATCACAAAAAAAAAAAAATCTTATAAAATCATTTAAAACAAATAAATAAACGTTGACGCTGATGAATGAGCAGTTTGTCCACAAAGTTTCTTCGGCCTCATTCTCTGATTATTAAAGATAAAACGGTTTGTGGAGACAAACTAATCCAGTTTCTTTATTGATAACATACTGAACGCTGTGATTTGATGAACGGACCATCACCGTGGTATTCTAGTAACTTCTCTAAAAAAAAATTCTTATAAATAGTTTAAAATATAGAATTTAATTATTATCCTTTCAAGTGCTGAGCCTCTTCGGGAAAAACCTTCTGTTGCAAAATGTCAGCTTGATAAAGTTACTATTTACTTGTTAACAGGAAGGACTCTGACTCACCTACCCAGATATTATCGTTTCCGATAACTTTTGTCCATTATGATGCAAGGTTTGTGTGTTGTGCTGTGTCATTAGGGAAAAGGTAAGGCAAGGTGGGCATCTAACATACACACAGGTGATGCAATTCTGGGCAAACATTTACCTTTGTGTGTGAGGGGGGCGGGTTTGTGTTTGTGTGATGGAGCGAGAGAGAAAGACAAGCATCTGTGCTATAAGTGTCAATTTAAACAAGCCAAGAAACTTCTTTAACACCTGTGCATTCATCCATCTCACAACTTGAGTCGATGTGGGCGTGGTGCGCTTTGGAAGTTTCGGTGGCGCTGAGGTGGGCCCGGGAGCCTTTGTGGGTGACCATGGAAACAGGGTAAACACGTCAGGACATGGCTGGTCAGTGATAATTCACCAGGAGCTCAAATAATAAAGGACATAGCTGGAATGTCATGGGTGTGGTATCCCCCCCCCCCCCCCCCCCCCCCCACCACCTTCATTGACAAGACCAGCTACCTGCCAGGAAAAATTTCCATTGTTTTTCATTTCCAACACAGATTCTTGTTTTATTAAATTACTACGGTTGCCAAGCAATAACATTTGATGGTGCAGCTTAAAAGAAGGTAAAGTCAGCAGATCCACAACTTCTTTGTCCTCCTTAGAAAAAAATAAATAAATAGTTAGATGGTGTTCACATTCATAAACCATTAAGATCAGGGATATTCAACTAAACTGCTCAGGCAGCCACTGTTACTGAAAGCCAAGAGCTCAGGGGCCGGACATCCACCAGTTATTGTCATTAAGTAAGTTTGTTTCATGGTTTAAAATCTAGTTTTATTTTAAAACGAACCCATTGGTGGGCTGAACTGAGCTCACCTGTGGGCCTGATTTGGCCCCCGGACCACCAGTTGAATAGCCCTGATCTAGATGGAAACAAATCGGCATGGAATTCTGGTCTTTTAATCTTTTGTCAAAAATAAATGTTAGGTAGTGTCTGCTTTCTGTAATGGTACATGACTTGTAAATTTACAACCTTGCCCAGTTTGGACCTTGTCAGCCCAGAGGAAGGTTTATAGGTGGGTGTGTTCTCATATGTTTACTCTGACATAAATCCAAGTTGGATCGAAACACTTTCAATCAATAAACAATTACTGCGCCCATAACTTTTTACCTAATGAAAGTTTTATGTGGCCCTGCACCTTGATCTCAAGGATGTGTTTGCGCCACGCTCCAGAGGAAACGTGAAACGAGCTGGTAGAATGTGACGTGACACAGACGATAAGAAACTGTAGCTTTAACGAGTGAACATCCTCTAGAAACAGCTGTTCTAGTCTTGGAAGCAGCCGCCACACTATAAAACAACCTTTCTGATAGAAAATAAGTGTTAACATCAGCAAGGCTGTTTTTAATAAGGAAGCTGCTGAAACATTTTTTTTTAATATAATATTAAAGTGTAGGATTACAGTTTCAGTTTCTGTGATTAATTTTAAGCAATAATACATTCATTGGTTTGATATGTAAAATGCTACGTGTGATAAATGTGAAACAATATTCACCCATGGATGTAAATACAAACCATAAACTGTTGCATTTTGTTTTATTGTTTGAACTCTGGAGTTCTCTCTTACACCTCTTGTTTTTCCACTAGTCTTTAACAGGTGGTGCTGTAGCAGTAAAGTGCACCATCTAGTGATTAAATGTGACTGTCCATGCCACTCAGGCTACATAGATTTGTCTTTTGTGGTTTTCCTCATTAACTCAGCGTTCTGTAAATCAAAAGCACACACAGAACAACAAATAGTCCAGGATTATGAAAATGGCTTGAAACACTACGTATACCTTAAAGTTTTGCTTTCAAAGCACCAAATACAGGCTTTAGAACAACATACTCTGTGCTCCCATCTAGAAAAAAAATTACTTTTTTGCATTGATGGTGCTTTTCCAGATGTGTAATCTTCCCATGCAAGAGGCATTAATGCACCCCCATATCATCAGAGAGGCAGGCTTTTAAATTTAAAATAAGACTGGATGGTCCCTTTTATCTTTACTACAGAGGACATGATGTCCATCCATCCACCCATCCATTATCTTTACCCGCTTCTTCCTTTTTGGACCATGGGGGTCCACGGTGCCCATGTCCAGCAGTCACTGTGTGAGAGGTGGACAGATCTCCAGTCCATCACAGGGCCACATGAGACAAACGAGACAAACAACCATTCATTCTCTCACTCACACCTAGAGACAATTTAGAGTTCCCAATCAGCCTAACATGCATGTTTTTGGGGAGGAAACCGGAGCACCCAGAGAAAAGCCATGATGCACGGAGAGAACATGCAAACTCCACCAAGAAAGGCCCCCGAACCAGGATTTGAACCATGGCAACCTGCTCGCTGAGAGGCCGCAGCTCAACCAACTGTGCCACCGTGCTGCCTGACATGAGGATTCCATTAGTTTTAGAGGCAGTTTTTCAGACCGAACTTCTGCCCATTTTTACTTCTGAGATGCAGCCTCTCTAAAATGCCCTTTTCATGTCATTTTACTGATTTGTTGACAAAATGCTGCCAAAAAGAATAACGCCTGTGTTCCACTGTAAAATAAAATATATGTTTATGAGATTTTCAAATCATTGCATTCTGCTTTTGTTTACATTTGTTTACATTTGTTTACATTTACATGCATTGTTTTCAACATCCAAACCTTTTTGGAATCGGAGTTGTAAATACTGACACAAACAGCTGCTGTTCCTTACAAAATTACACGGTAATGGCTTTTCTTAGTTTTGTCACCTACTTAGATATAGATCTACTTATAAAACAACGTGAAGGTTAAAGAAAAGTATTACAGAAACAAGAAATGGTTAAGAACGTTAAACAGCTTTATTTAAAAAAGAGCTCATTCCATTTCAGCCATTTTTATTCTCTCTTTGATCCAGTCGAGCTGGTACTTTGTGAGAAAAGCGTACACTCCAGGCTTCTCCTTTTCTCCACAAAGTTCTCCTCCAAAAGATGTGACTCCAACCAGAGCTCCGTTACATATTAACGGCCCCCCTGAATCCCCCTGCAGAGAGGACAAACACACGTTGGTCATTTTCTAATATTGTTTAATTTAACATTAAAATAGTCTGTTAGTCCCACTTACCGAGCAGGTATCTGCATCTTTATTACCGTCTGAACCAGCACAGATCATGCTCTTAGTGATAACTGGGTTGAAGTCATAATATTGAGGAGAGTTGCACTTTATTCTGTTGATCACAGTCACGTTGACGGACATCAGGACATCGGACATTTTGTCATCGTTTTTGTTGTTTGTTTTCCCCCATCCAGCCACCAGACAGGTGGATTTATCTGCTGGTTCTTTGACGACATTACTCAGCTTGAGAACGTTAACCGACTTGGTTTGTTTTGCTGGCTTGTCAAGCTGAAAATATAATTTAAAAATGGATCAATATGGCTGGATCGACTGTTTTTGGCAGTAAACAGCTTTTTAAAAAGTATCACACACAATAAAGTGACACAGACCGCAGTGACTGGCAACAATGAGATATTTTAACCTTTTAAGCAACTTACAGCTGATACACACGCAATGAGCTACTATCAACAGCAAACTTTGTCCAATAGAAATATGTAAAGGAGATTTAATAATCAAAAGTAGAGCAGAAAAGGCTAGAATCTTTTTAATCATCTTTTTTTTTAACTTTATCAACATGTTTCCTTAAAACACATTGAATGTTGCCTCCTTTTTGTCACCTTACCTTGAGCAACATGAGGTCGTTGACCTTTTCATCCTTGTTAAAGCAGGGATGACGAGCTCGTATCTTTACCTTTCGGACCTGCCTGCTTTCTTTTTCCTTTTTCGTTCCTTTGATGGAGTGCACCCCCAGCAGCACTGTCTTAATACTGCAAGAACAGAAACACACACTGTTGGTTAAGTTTGTTCTGTGATGTTTGAATTTTAACCGTGCATCCCAACACCTGATGGAAGAGGTTTCTGTGTCTTGAAGCATATTCTAGTCTTCTTTTAGGCACAATGTATAAAATAATTACTAAAAACAACCGAACATTTAACAATGCATGCAAATAAAACACATAAACACATAAATAAGCATTGAACTGTGCTTTCCTCTTACAAATCTATGGTTTGAGTTGCACAGCTGTGAATTGAAACTTAAATTTCAGACATGAAGAGCAAACCCTCTCTGAAGCCTTGTGGTTTCTGTGGTTTCTTCAAGCGACTGACATTTAGTTTGAGTGGCATATATTCTTTCATTGGAAGTTCATATCAAATGTATTGCATAAGACGAGTATGGTTCCTACTCAGGGCAGTGTGCAGCAGTCAGGACCCATTTTGGGTCAATTAAAATCCCTCCGCAGACCGGTTTGTTTGTCTCCAGCAGAGCCATGTAGGGCAGCGAATGAGGCTGCACTTCTATCCCATTGATAATCTCAGAACCATGACCTAAAACAAAAAGTATACAATTATCTTTTAAATTCATCTCAGGGACAGTAATAGTTACTAAGATAAAGAGACTGAACTTAAATAAATGTTACTCACTTGAGTCTACAATGAGGAGAAAGGTCCAGGGGATGAAAGCAGCGAAGCCCCTCAGAGAAAACATCTCCTCGTGTCTCTGTCTTTGATCTGGTGATGAGCGTGCCCCCACTCTTGATGGTCGTCCCTTTATGTGTTTGACTCAAAGGATGTGGTCTGACCATGGAAATGCACGAGTCAGCAAAAAGGATGTATACATGACATGACACCTGATGCAGACGGTAACTCTGAATGTTGTGGTGACATTTACAAGAACTGATCAGGACCCTTCTATTCAGCAGCTGCAGAGGAGAGTATTTTAGTTTAGTTTAGTTTATGAGATGAAGCTCATGCTATCGTTGAGAGAGATCAGGTGGCAACATCTCAAAAAGAAAATACATCTCAATTTATTTGTTTATTTTTTGAAGAAATGCTCTTTCCAGAAATTGGTCAATGCCATTTCTAATGGGTGTGAGTGTTTACTGGAAATGTTTGTATTTCATATTAAAGTTTGTGCTTCATGACTCATTTGCTGTTGAGTGTATTTCAAGTTAGTATGATATATTGTAAAGTTATAATTTCTTAATTTTGAACCCTGTAAATTGGAAAACCAAACCAACACAAAGATAAAGAAAACGAGTTTTCGTATTCTGAAGATTTTGAACAATCATTTTGGCAGAGGTCTCAAGAAAACAGTGCAGTTTAGTTTGAGTCATCAAGTTAGGCAACAAATGTCTTCCATTAATGTCGTTGTTGGATTGTAATATTAATTAAGCAGAGTTGTCACATAAACTCAACCAGAAATAGACAAAAGTATTTTCATAGCATTCAGTAATGTCATTTTTATTGATAAAAGATAAGAAAAGCAGAACGAGTGAAGAGAAAAGCGTTGGACATCATTTAGAGTAATAACGTCATTACATTTCAGCCATCCTCATTATCACCTTCATCCATTCGATTTGGGTTGGTGTGAGAAAAGCGTACACCCCAGGCTTGTCTATTTTTCCACATTTTGACTCCAACCAGCTCTCCATCACATATTATTGGCCCTCCTGAATCCCCCTGGAGATTAAAAAAACACAAGATGGTCATTTTTAAACAATCATTTCATTTAACATTAAAATCAAAGGCAGTGAGTTGCACTTACTTGGCAGGTCATTATCACCATCTGGACCAGCACAGATCATGTTGTTGTAGATAACACTGACTTTGCCATAAAACTGAGCAGAGTTGCACTTTTCTCTGTTGATCACCGTCAAGTTGACACACATCAGAACATCTGACATCCCTTCCTCTTCCTAGTCTGTTGTTCCCCATCCAGCAACCAGACAGATGGAGCCACCTACAGGATCGCTAATGACATCATTCAGCTTGAGAGCACACACTCGTTGAAGTGATAAGGGTATAAAAGCAAGTCCCACTTACCGAGCAGATATCTGCAATATTATCACCACCAGCATGCATGAGTCATAGTTACCACAACTTCACCTTTATGTCCAACAATTTTTAGTCAGGTCATTTAGACAGTTTCTTTTTTTTTTCTGAAATGTTTCAACTTCTATCTGGAAGGCTTCATTAGTCAAGGAAACACCATTACCATTATATCTGATTCTGAAGGCTGTCGTAACTTTTATCCGAGCCAGTTTAGACTTTTTTTTGTGTGTGGTTTTGCAATGGAATTTTATTTTTGTGTGTGATAAAGGTTATCACTGAGTGCACACTGGCGAAAACAGCTAGATGAAGATGCAGAACATGATGAAATTCTTCAGCGTTTAAAAGGTTATGATTCAGAAATGCTTTTTTTTTTTTTTTTACAAAAACAGGGCAACAAATGAAGATGCACAGTTGCAAACCAAAGAAGCAGTTGACATGTCACTGAGTCATCCAACTGGATATAATTCTTTAATGTCACATTTACATTGTAAAAATATTCTTATTTTAAAACTTTTTTATACAACCCAGCCAGAAAGTGAAAAGGCTTTTGTTTTTCTAGTCCTCTCTCCTTCATCACGAGGACTTTTTTTTGGTTTGTTAAAGAAAATGGCTTCAAATCACCATGCGTTTACGTGTTCATATCAAAATTGTCTTTATTTATACTGAACTTTTAAAGCTTAAATAGTTTACAGAGACAAGAAACAGAATCAAAAATGTAATAAAAGTGGACAAAAAAGGAAACAATCAGAAGTTAAACAGTTTATTAAAGGCAGTAACACATTAAAATGCATAAAAACAGAACAACAAAGGTTTTGGTTGGTGGTTTGAACATGACAGGATTGACCATTAGGACTTTGTAAATCCATCCATCCATTATCTTTACCCACTTCTTCCTTTCCAGTTCACCAGGGTCATTAGTGCATATGTCCAGCAGTCACTGTGCGAGAGGTTGAGTACACCCTGAACTGGTCTTATGTTCATCACAGGGACAATTTTCAACTAGCCCTAAACCCAATACAGGAGAAATGTGATCTCACTTGTTGGAAGCAGTTAGAACTATGGCAGCACTGGTTTGGACTAGCTTTAAGGTTTTCAGGAAGCTGTATGAACTCCGGTTAAGATAGCATTACAGTAGTCTAGTTTAGTTGTGTCAAGGCATGAACACGTTTGTTGCAATGGTGTGAGACAAAGTTTATCCTCTTATTGCAATGCATCATGTGAAGCGTGTTTTAGAAACTTGATTAATATGTAAAGTGAGTGACAAATCCTCATAAAAAATAACTCACAAGAAAGGAAATTGAAAGATCTGTCTCATTGATATTCAAAAGTAAACGTAGTCAGCAAGACCTTAACATCTTCCATGCAGCACTAGATTTTCAGTATTTGACTGTGTGCATCAGGTTTTATGAACAGCTAAAGCTGTGAACATGTATGTCGTGCTTCCTGATCATGTTTGTTGGGGAAGCATGTAAGGTGAAAACAAGACTGGTCCAAGCCCGGAACCTTGTGGGATGCCAAACATAACTTTGGAAGGTGTAGAATTCATATTGTGACTCATATATAGTGGATCAGTTGAATAAATAGGACTTGAAACAGTTTGTACTTTTGATCCCAGTGAAATACTTCTTCAGTCCTGAAGAAGACTGAAGAATCTTTTGGACGAAAGACGAAACATTTCAACAAAGAAGAATCTGTCCAGAGGACCTGAATCAACCTTGTTTGATTTGTCTACCTAGATAATTGAGTATGCATCAAGACATTGTTATTAACCGGGGGGGGGGGGGGGTTCTACAGAAATGCTCTTTTACCGAAAATGGCCAACATCTTTTTTAGTGATTGTGATTATTCCTGCATGTAAACTGTGAAATCCAACATTTTTCAGTCAGGTCATCTGGACAGTTTTTTTTTTTGTGCTGAAACGTTTCACCTTCCATCCGGAAGGCTTCATCAGTCAAGGAAACACACAACAAAACTGATTCTTCCCCCAACAGCTTACTCCAAAGTAGAACAAACCAGTTATGTTGGTGCTAAGATGGTCTCTTTGTCATGCCCCCTCCTCCATTGCTGGCCCTCTTCCTTGTTGACAGTCGAGTCAAACTGGTTGAAAACAACAAAGTCCATGCTCAATAATCCAGGTATAAAATCCAACATTTTTCAGTCAGGTCATCTGGACAGTTTCTTTTTTTTTGCTGAAATGTTTCGTCTGTTGTTTTCAACAGTTTTTTTTAGATTTTGCAATGTAGTTTTATTTTTGTGTGCTAAATATTATTATCACAGAGTGCAAACAAGTGAAAATCGCTAGATGAAGATTATGAAATGTTTAAAATGTTATCATTCAGACATGCTGTGTCACAAAAGCTGAAACAAAATTATGCTGTGCAGATGGAAATCATAGAGGCTCAAACTGGACACCGGAGAGCTATATTTTTCATAAAACATTTAATAGTCAATTTTTATTCTCCATTATGAATTAAGCTAATTAAGTCATTCTGTGAGTATTCCATGCTTTGCAATGTCTTTATGTTTTAAACAAATACCTAAACCTCAGTGGACAGGTTCAATGGACAAAGTCAGACACAAGTTAGTTGACAGCATGTGATTATAGCCTAGTTTGACCAGAATACTAGAATTTTCTTTCCAAATCATTAAACTTCTACAATAGAAAAATTAGACCATAAAAATACAAAATGTTGGAAAGTTTTTAAGCATTTAAAATATTAGAAAGATGTGTTTTTGGACGCAAACAATACGATCTGAGTTGACTCTCATGTTCATAATGATTCACCATTGATTTATTGCACTAAGAAAATTATTGCAGTACATATATATATATATGTACTGC